AAAAAAAGAGGCATGGGAGAGAGAAAGAGAGTTGTCCATGGGTTGGAACATTGCATGTCATGTCATATTTTATTGATATGTTGATTAGTTTTGCTGAGTTCTTCTCTTCTTTTTTAAAGAATTGTATTATATTTTTGTTATATTTTAGTATACTTTGTTATATTTCATTTGTCATTCTTTTCTTATGTCTCTCTTGGACATAGTTGGGGGAAGTGGAGGATTGTAGTGGAAAATATAGATGATATAAAAGGTATTAATGAAATTTATTTTAAAATAGCAAGTATATTTGAAAACTTGAAAGTATTCCTTCTACTTGAATACTACAGGGTACAAAGGGAGGGAAAATTCACTTTCTGCTGAGACTGACCCTCACAAGTATCTGATATTCTGAAAGAAGACTCCAAATCTGCTCTGCAGCAAGGTGACATTTACCTAAACCTTCAAATGAATGAGTGGTTTCATGACTTGGTACCCCACCCCTCCAACAAGACAGATCACAATGCATCATCCATCCATGCTCAACTTATTTGATGTTTGTCTATATTGTTGACAACACCCTACGTGCTGGAGGCTTTAACTTTCTCCTGCTCTCATGAGAGTATCAAAGGAGGTGAACCTGGGTCCTTGAAGGCTATGCCAGTGGAGTGTACTATCTGATAGGTTCGACCATTGCTCTTTGATTAAAAGACTTTGAGTGTGACACAGGCAACTGACCAAGTCACCTTTCTGAGCACCAGCCTAGCTAAGGGTGAAGAGGCTCATCACTAGTAGGTTGAAGATTCCATGATGAATTTTTGGCCATGGCAACTCATGAAGTTTGTATGCAAAATTTAAACCCCTTCCCATATCCAAAAAGACTGTTAGTCCTCTGTTCTGTCCCTCTCTTTTATGGAAACCTGCTCTCAGGAAAGGGCCAAGTCTCGGCCTTCTGCTCCTCAGGGTAAGTGTAGTTCCTGAATTTCCTCTCCCAGGGAGATTTGCACTGTAATCCTCATTTCTTTTGTGGAATGAAGAGGTCTGCTTTAGTGTAAAGAAATCCTCTAGTGCCAGCTAGGGATAGATGTGGATAAAGTTTTCATACTTCCCCTGGGCCCATAGGAAATACAAGCCAGTAATGAAACCTGTCTTGATTGGCCCCCAAATCTAGCCACTACTGCCCTCCTCCCAACACCTTGTATTTTATGTCGTATGTATTTGAAATAGGGAGAAAGAAGGGAAGGGGTAAGGAGGGTGAAGGAAGAAAAGAAAGGAAGAGAGGGGGAGAAAGGAGAGAAAGAGTGGATAGAAAGGAAGAGAGAAAGGCAAAGGGCAAACAGATCACTAGAGCTGGAAGACAGGGGTTCAAATTCTGCCTCAATTGTTAGCTGTGTGACCCCAGGCAAGTCATTTTTACCTATCTGGCCTTCAGTTTCCTCATCTGTCAAATGAAGGAGAATTAGAATTGAAAACCTCTTAGGGTCCTTTCCAGCTCTAAACCCATATTTCTAATCTCCTATAATTTATGTGTATATTGTATACCTTGGTAGAATGCAAGCTGGGCAGAGACTCTTTGTATCGGCAGCACCAAGAACAATTGCTGACACTTCATAAACATTTGGTGAATGTTGTTTGGCTAGCTAATATGCACAGTAGTCAAGTATTTTTTTGTTTGTTTTTAAATCTGGAAGCAGGTTTAGCAAGAAGATAGATAGTGTTTGGTAGAGATCTTAGTTCCTAGAAGGAACCTTAGAGAGTATCTACTTGACCCTGGCCCTTCCTTTCACAGAAGAGGAAAATAAAACCAAAGAGAAGAAAACTGACTTGCCCAAGATCATGCAGTTACAAAGGGTTAGCAAGAGGATTCCAAATCCAGTCTCTTGACCTCCAAAACAGCACACTTTCCTCTGATGCATGACCAGTTCTTGCACTCTCTGGGACTTTAGACAAGGGGATGGCTTTGAAGTATGGGGACTTCTTTCATGGTAAGTAATGCTTGATGAGGCTGAGAGGAAAGAGGGATATTGCCATTGACTGTCACTGCATAGCTCTTGCTCCAGCCCCAGCTCCCTGACAGGCAGAGCATCTCTATTCCCTTGCTACCATACAGAAAACAGATTCAAGTTCTTAAATTTTGTTTGAGCAGCAATTAGTCCAACATATGGTCTGATTGCATTTTGTATTTAGATGAAAATACACATAATCCCCTCCTTTTCCCTCCCAATAAATGACTGATGCTGCTTGTTTGTTTGTTTTTTAAGTGTTTCTTATGAATACGTTTCCTTCCCTGCATGCAGCATTGGGTCCTAGCATCAGTCACTCAAAGAATCATAGACAGGCTAGAAATAGAAGATGTCATAAACCATAGACTATCAGACCTAGAAGGAAACTAGAGTTTACCTCGTATAATCTCCCTTGTTCTACATATGGGAAAACTGAAGCTTGATGTAGTGGGAAAGATTATGGGAATTAGAATCAGGAGAAGGAAGGAAGAACAGGAGGAGGAGGGAGGGAGAAGAGAAAGAAAAAGAGAGAGCGAAGGAGGGGCAGTGTTGTACAGTGAATAGAGCACTCGACTGGGTGACCTGGGTTCAGATCTTGCCTCAATTATTAGCTGGGTTCAAATGTAGCCTTGTCACTTTCTTCTACTTGTGTGAATTTGAGCAAATCGTAATCTCTGATCTTCTAGAAAATAAGAGAGTCCAAGGTCCCTTCCATTTCTGAATCTATGATTTTTTAATGGACCCAAGGTTACTCCAAGGGTTGAGAGAGAGCTGGAACAAGAACCCTCAAGTCCTGATCCCTAGGCCAGAACTGTTTCTCTCATATTGGTTGATTCATCATTTAGGAGCCAGCCCACAAGCTAAAATACTTCCATGGGTTGTGTAGTGGAAAGAACGCTGACCTTGGAGTCATGTATCCAGAGTTTGAATCCTAGATCTTCCATTTCCTACCCTTGGGGCTGTGGACAAATAGCCTCTCTGAGTCTCGGTTTTTTCATCTGCAGAATGAGGAGTGTTGGGCTAGCTGGCATCTGAGTCTCCTTACAGCTCTAGAGCATAGATCCTAGAATCTAAAACTCTTTCTTGGAAGGAACTTTGATCATCCAGCTAAAGTACTGTCATGTTTGCTTACCTGGAAAATGAGAAGGATTAGATGATCTCTAGGGTTCCTTCTAGCTCTGGTTTCTCTGCTTCTATCTTTTGGTTGAACAGAATTGCATGTACGTAGATAGACAGATAGATAGATAGATAGATAGATAGATAGATAGATAGATAGATAGATAGAGATAGAGATAGATAGATAGATATAGATATATAGATATAGATAGATATATAGATATAGATATAGATATAGATATATGTATGTATGTATGTATGTATGTATGTATGTATGTATGTATGTATGTATGTGTATATATACATACACACCAAAAATGACTTGCATTCCAGATATGGATCCTTTGCTCACGCTGTTCCCCGTGTCTGCAATGGCTCCCAGCCTCCATATGTCCTTTAAAGTCTAAATCCAATTCCCCTTCATCTATGACGTCTCTGCTGATCCTACTGGTCAGCAACATTTTTTTTTCTTAACATAAGGCAATTGAGGTTAAGTGACTTGCCCAGAGTCACACAGCTAGTGAGTGTTATGTATCTGAGGCCAGATTTGAACTCAGGTCTTCCTGACTTCAGGGCCAGTACTCTATCCACTGCACTACCTAGCTGCCCTGTCGGTAACATTTCTTAAGAAGTGTTTAATAAAGGTTGAATTGAATCTTCTTCTTTAGCCTTCAGGTAGTCTTTATTATATGGCGACTGCCTCATAGAACTGCAAAACTACAAAATTCTTTAATTCCTAGCACTTTACATGGTGCTTCTCACAAAATAAATGCTTAAAAATTGTTTCTTGAGGGGCAGCTAGGTGGCGAAGTGGATAATGGCCCTGAAGTCAGGAGGACCTGTGTTCAAAGCCAGCCTCAGACCGACAGTTGACACTTACTAGCTGCGTGACCCTGGGCAAGTCACTTAATCCCAATTGCCTAAAAAATTAAAAAAAAAATGTTTCTTGAATCAAATTCATCCATTCATTCAACAGGGATTTGTTAAGCAGCAGGTACAAAGAAGGTAAGGCCACCAAGGTCACAGAGATGTATAAATGCATTTTAGTTGTCTATATTTGGATCCTATCTCCTTACTGGAAGGCAAAGTTCCATGAGGACAAATTCCCTGTCTTATCTAAACTTTGTATCTCCCTGTATCCCCTAACACTTAGGACAGTGTTCTCTTCACAGAAAGCCATTAGTAAGTGTCTGGTGAATGAATGAATGAATGAATGAATGAATGAATGAATGAATGAATGCATTCCAGATGACAGGAATAGTAAGAGCCAAGTCTTGAAGGTAGGGAATATGCAAAATATCTTCAGGGAGATACTTTCCATGACTGAAAAGCTTGGCTTCACCTCTTCTCTGGGTATTGAACAGGGTCAACTTACCTGAGATCCCACTGCCCCTCCTGATTGGGTCATCTTGATTAAGGAACAAGAGGGACCCTAGCCAAATCTCTTTGAATGCAAGCTTCTAGCAGATGGGCATCCCATGTGCTGGATGACAATTTGATGGGCTCCAACTAGGCAGTGACTCGTTCAATCTCCCCCACCCCTTAAGGAGCCTGGGAAGGATACAGCAACATGTTTAGCATCCAGCTGAAAGGACACTGTCCCAACAACACTGACCAGCTGGGTGGCCATGGGTCATTAATTTCTAATTAAGAGAAAATACACTTCTTGACCTTGTTCTGTGACTCGCTTCCCCCCTGTAGAAAGTAGTGGAGGATGTTTGAGAATGTTCCAATGCAGCATGATCTCACTCCACTCTATCCTTTGGGAAGGACCAATGAATGTCCTTGGGGCCAGAACCCATTGTTTGTCATGGTGGTAAGCAGCATGACAGCAGAAAGAGCATCACACTGTATTTGTAAAGAGTTTTGTCAACTGAATGAGAAGGAGTTAGGGTAACGGGATTCTCAGCCATGTCATTTGGCCTCTCTAGAGGCCTGTTTTCTTATATGAACAATGGGATAATAGAGGAAGGAAGTGAGGCCCAGAGATGATTAGTGCCTGCCCAACTTCATCCAGGTAGTAAATGGCAGAGTCAAGATCTGAACCAAGGTTTTTGGTTTTTGTCTTGTAGCTTTTTGTTTGTTTTCCTTTCGGCCCTAAAGCCAGCATTCTTTCTACCGGACCATGTTGCTCTCGAGACAATGAGGGAGAGAGAGAGAGAGAGAGAGGAGAGAGAGAGAGAGAGAGAGAGAGAATGAATGTCAGTAGGTGGGGAACAGAGAAAGAAGTCACTGGGACATGATAGCAGAGGTGGGGTGTGTGTGTGTGTTGTGTGTGTGTGTGTATGTGTGTGTGTGTGTTTTTAAAAGCATCATTATAACATTTTGAATTAAAGAAAAAGCCTGGGCTTGACAGGATCAACTCTATCAGGGTTGTGAGAAGTCAAAACAATATTATACCTCTATATGCAAAACTGGGGCAGCTAAATGGCATAATGGATAGAGTGCCCAGGCCTGGAGTCAGGAAGAGTGTGTGACCCTGAGAAAGTCACTTCACCCTGTTTGCCTCAGTTTCCTCATCTGTAAAATGAGGTGGAGAAGGAAATGGCAAACCACTCCTGTATCTTTGCCAAGAAAACCCCACATGGGGTCACATAGAATCCAACATAACCGAAACAAGTGAACGACAGCATATACAAAGCTAGACCTTGGATCTAATTTCACAAACAGAGTCATAAATAGGTAAGAAAACTATACCCTAGCCTCAGGGCAGGAAATTTAAAGGTACAGAGAGAATTATACCAAGGATCTTTATTGCCTGCCCACCCCTCAAGTTGTTATTTCAGGGTCTGGCACTTCAGGTGCATCCACTCGCTCCCCTATAACTCCCACACATGTGCTTCAGGTACAAAGATTGCTGGTTATAACTGCAATCAGAAATAGCTTATCCTAAGTCCTAGAAAGTTTATGAGACATGGCAGCATATTATAGTGACAAAAATATTTTACCTGAAATCAGGAGCTCTGGATTCAAGACTTGATTCCACTATTTACTGCATGACCACAGACAAATCTTTTAACCTCTCAGAGCCTTGGTTTCCTCATTGATTAAATGAGGCAGATAAGAGGTAACAGTGGGTAAAATGCTAGGCCTTGGGTCAGGAAGATCTGAGTTCAAACCCAGCCTCAGATATTTTCTAGCTGTGTAACCTGGGGCAAGTCAGTAAATCACTGTTTTGCCTCAGTTTCCTTGTCTGTAAAATGGGGATAGCAATAGTATTGTTGTGAGGACCATATCACATAACCAGTATTTGTAAAGTTCTTAGTACAGTTCCTGGAACGTAGTATGAGCTATATAAAGGTTAGTTATTATTATTATAAATTGAAGGTAATACCTACCTCACAGAATGGAATTGTTTGGAGAAAAGTATTTTGCAAGCTATAAAGCAATATTGAAAAGTGTAACAATAAAATAGTTAAAATGCTTGAAAATCTAAGCTACCTTTTGAAGTCACATGAAAAAATGTGATTCCTACAGTTAGGTCTGTAGACGTACAGAGAGGGGAGAGATTACTACAGGTTGGAGTGAATTATATGATAGCTAACATTTATATGACACCTACTACATGCCGGGAACTGTGCTAAACATTTTACAACCATTATCTCATTTGATCCTCAAGGAAAGCTTCATGCAGGGCCAACTAAGCCTTGGAAAATGGGCAGAATGTGGAGAGGTAGGAAGAAGAAGAAGAAGAACACTCATAGCACTCTTAGAATTCCAATACAAGTTGAAAAGAGGGAAACATGAACAAAAGCAGAGAGGCCAGAATGTACCTGCTATATACATCTTGAAAATGACAAATTGATCAGCCTGGCTGAAGCCAAGGATTTTTTAGGTAAGTAGTGAGAAATGGCATTTTCTGTGCCATGCTGGGGAATTGGAATTCTATCCTGTAGCTATTAAAGGTTTTAGAGCAGAGAAGAAAAATCAAACATATTGTCAGAGCTAGAAATGTCCTTAAAGATCCCAGGATCATACATAGGGTCATAGGCTTGGAGCTAGAAGTGACCTTGGAGGTGAGCTAGCTCAAACTCATCATTTTGCAGATAAGTAACTGAGGTCCATCAAGGTCAAGTAACTTCACCATCTAATCCAACCCTCCTTCTCATTTTACATATGGGGAAACTGAGGCCAAGAGAAGCAAAGTGACTTGTTTAAGGTCATACCATAGGGATGCAAGCGGTTTTTTTAGGAAGCTGTTTACTTTAATGCTCCCACCTGTTCTTTCTGGATTTCACCACCCTGACTCTGCTGCCTCCTTACCCTGGAACATTTCTTCCCCTGCCAGTCCCTTTCTCTCACTGCTCAGTTCCCTCTGAGGGCCTCTATTTTGGAGATAGGCCTAGGCCAGCTATGCTGCATTCCCCTCCCAGTTTGGTGGGTACATTCTCACCTCTACCTTTTCAGCTTCCTTTTATGTGTTGTCTTTTCCCATTACAATGCAAGCTTCTTGAGGGCAGGGACTGTCTTTTTTCTTTTCTTTTTTTTTCTTTTTTTTGGTGAAGCAGTCAGGGTTAAGTGACCTGCCCAGGGTCACACAGCTAGTAAGTATCAAGTATCTGAGGACAGATTTAAACTCAGGTCCTCCTGACTCCAAGGCCAGAGATCCGTCCATTGTGACACCTAGCTGCTCCTGGGCCTGTCTTTCTTTCTCCAGTACTGAGCTCAATATCCAATACATAGTAAGCACTCAATAAATACCTGTTGCCTGTCTGTTGCCTATTGCTTGATTCTAGCACTCCTTTATTACTATTAATAGGTTCAGTTCTTTTACTCTAAAACAAAACTTTGCATCAATATCTTTGGCCTAACAAGACCAAGGTTTCATAGGATTTAAAGCTGATTCAACACCTTTATTTTATAGATAATGAAAAGAAAAGAAATAATAAAGTTCCAAAAACCCTTTCCATATATCATCTCATTTGATGCTCCAAACAAACTTGTGATGTGGTCATTATAGTTCCAGTGAGAAAACTGAGGCTTGGCTTTGAAACACAAAGTAACTTGGGCTATATCACATAGGCAGTAAGTAGAAGGTGAGCTTGTTAGAGCTGAAAGACAACTAGCTTTGGATTCTGCAAATCTGAGTGTCCTCCTGAGCTCTGCTATTAACTGACTCTCTGGCTTTAAACTGGGGCAGCTAGATGGTGCTGTGGATGGAGCACTGGACCTGAAGTCAGGAAGGTTCATCTTCCTGAGTCCAAATGTGATCTCAGACACTTATTTGCTATGTGAATCTAGGCAAATCACTTCACCCTGTTTGCCTCAGTTTTCTCATCTGTTAAAATGAGCTAGAGAAGGAAATGGCAAACTACTCTAGTATTATTTTTTTTTGCCAAGAAAACCCTAAATGGAGTCATGAAGACTCAGACATAACTGAAACAACTGAACAACAACAAAAAGGGCTTTGAACAAGTCACTCTATGTCTCAGCGTCAGTTTCCTTATCTGTAAAATGGAAGGATTCAATTAAATGACCACAAAGGTCCCTTCTAGCTCCAAGGCTAGTGACAGAGCCAACATTCTAATACAGGTCCTCTAATTTCAAATCCTGTGCTCTCTTCACCAAACACACTCTGTATTCCTGCCCTAGTCTTAGCTCAGTGCCTTGAAAATCCTTCCCTCAGCTATATTGCATATGGGTTTGCTAAGTGCTTCCCATCATTAGCCTCATAATCATTAGCTATGTCATACTGGTCAACTGTAAGGCAGGAGGGAGAGTATGACAAGATGCAGGGAGATGCTGAGAAAATAATAACTAAAATGCATCAAACGTGCACACAGATACATGCACACAAAGGCCTCTGACATCACCTGCTATCAGTTGAGATAACAAATACAGGATCCAAAATGTAGCCAGCAGATGGGATCTCAGAAAAATGTCATCAAGAAGAAATATCCCATGTCAGAAACAAAATTCCAGTTTAGCAAAATCATTCCCCTTCCCTGTCTTTCTTCAGAGGAAAAGTCTCACTGGGGCCCCCTGGAACTTTAGCAATCCAAGATGAGTTATTTAGCACAGAGCACCACATCATCTTGCATGTTAAATACAAAAGGAAAAAATACCTTCGGATTTGGAAATGGGGTTGCAGTCACAGATGGTGCCTGAACATGCATAAATTCCGTCGCCTCGAGAACAGATGGAAACTTGAAGGGGGGAAAAGACTTCAGCATTCGTCGGCTGTGCAACCACCGGGCTGGGAAAATGGGAATTTGTCACTTGACTGTGGAGGGTCTTGGACTTGTGATCTGGGAGATGGTGATAAGAAGATCCATTGGCCCCTTAGCATATATGGGGAAAGCTGTCTTTGCTAAGGTACTAGGGCGTCATGCATGAAAGGGGGTAGGGTTAATAGAGTTAGAAAGAGACCCAGGTCAGAGAGGCTAGAGAAACTAGAAGGAGAAATGAGTAAATGAAATTTAGGAGTTTCTCATGAACTCTGTCAGCACCATGGGTCACATTCCCAAGGAAATTCCAAATTCTTTGGATTTGGGGTTACAATTTAAAAAAAAAAAAAAGAAAGACCTTGCCTTCAATAAGCTTACAATTTAAAGGAGGAAACAACACACAAAAGGAGAGAGGAAAGTGGGGTGGATCAGGTGAGAATCAAGTCAGTCCTTCAAATCAATCCTCATGTGGCACGATTTCTAGTCTCTTCACCACTCTGATCATCCTCCTCTAGATGATACACTGGTTGATAGGTGGTCAACGTCTGTCCTAAAAAGTGGCACCAAGGAGCAACCATAGTTCTCTACATTTGTTCTAAACAGTGCAGGGGACAGCAATAATATCCTCTCCCTTTTCCTGGATGCCAGGTCTCTCAATGGGCAACTAGGTGGTGCAGTAGATAGAGTGCCAGGTTAAAAACCAGCCTCAGATACTAAGTAGCTGTGTGATCCTGGGCAAGTCACTTAACCCTGCTTCCCTCACTTTCCTCATCTGTAAAATGAGCTGGAAAAGGAAATGACAAACCACTCTAGTATCTTTGCCAAGAAAACCCCAAGAGGAGTCACGAAGAGTAAGACATGACTGAAAAAGGACTAAACAATAAAAGTCTCTCATTGAGACACATTTTCTATTTGATCACCATAACAGAGTCTCACCATATAATGAGCTTATAGTCTTTCTAAAACCTGAGGTTCTTTCCACATAAAGATTTTAATCCAAGAGGCAAAAAGCAATCCTTAGCTACCACCTTTTGTCTCATACAATAAACTAAGTCTCTCATTTCATTTCCCCATATTTAGTGGAGTGGGTCTTAGGGAAAATACAGAAACACAAAACTGTCAGTTAACAAGAACTAAAACTTCCCTTGTGCCAAACTAGGAGTCCAAAACCCTCAATGAACCACCTACATTCCTATCATTAGAGCTGTAACTTGACATTTTTTTCCACCATGGGCAAGATAATTTGGGTAGTAGCACTGGGCACAGGAAACAGTCTGACTTCAGGTGTAATTGCACCAGGAGAGAGAGTAGTTTGGTCTTCACCCTGGTCAGAGTTGGAGAGAAGCCATCCTGACAGAGGGGTGCCATGACAATGGAGGTGAAGACTCTTCTACTATGCAGAGAACTGTAAGGTGAAGTGAGTTACTGGCATCATAACAGCTATAGAGAGTAACTATGCTCCTTGAGGGGGAAAGCCCCCTAGATATTGGCACCTTGGGTCCAAGCCACACAGCTCTGCCTACAGTTGTCCAATCAAACTCCACTGACTCTCTGATTGATTGGGATTAAGCTGACCTCATTCTGGGGGTATGCAAATGATAGAAGACTCTTTTTGGAAGCTGCTTCTAGCAGCTTTGTGAGCTTCTGGCTTCATAGAAACTTCCAGGAATGCTTTAATAGAGATTCCAAGAAGAGTTAATGGGTTTTCTGGGTTTTTTTCCCCTCAAATAACTTCCCCCAACTCTTTCCATTTGCCTCTCTCCTTGCAGCTATATTTCTCCCCAATCCCCTCTTCAAATGGTCATTGCCTCACTTGGTTTTCCATTCTGCTCATTATCCTTGCTTATGTTCAGCAAGACAGTGGGAGGCTGCTTGCTTTGGGCTCAGACATGTAAGAAAATGGTCCACAGACAGCCGCTGGGGAGAGTGCATTACGCTCCTGTTGTGGTGGGAGTCTGTGCTTATAATTACTGGGGGCTGCGGCTGGGAAGGAATATTGGCACTTTCCCCAGGAAAGCTCCTGAAAAGACAACTCCAGACTCCATGACACCCCCGCTCTCCAGAGCGCGCAGGGATAAATTACTTGTGGGGACTGCTGCCCCCAGCCCATCCATCTAGGCTGGTTGGGGCGGGCTGAGTGCTGCAGGGGAAAGCAAGAAGGGCTTTGGTTCCTTCCCTTAGTGGTGCCCCTAAGTGTCTCCTGAGAGATACGCTTTCAGACAGTTGGCCACAGAACACAGACACCGTTACTGTTTGGTTGTGGCTCTAAGACCTTGCAAAATGTTATCCTTTTAATGAGTTTGTAAGGTGCTGCAACACAGAATCTGGCTAATTCCACAGATCCAAGATGTGCTTAAACATGAATACCTATGAACATTTCCAAACAGTAAATCCAAGCTGCTTCTCAGCACACTGTAACAGAGCAGAGGGACAAGCTCAAGATGACTCGTTCAGCCTTCCTAGGCAGACTGGCACAGAAACAATTGCAGTCGTGCAGGGCTTCCTGAATGGGACTCTGGAGCGTGTGTCAGCCCCTTGCATCCTGAAGCCTCCTCCCGTTTCACTTCTGGGAACACAGGAGGCTCATCCCTTCCACCCAGGCTGAGATGCAACAACTTTAGATGACCAACATGGGAAAAGATCCATCCTTTGCATGAGAAGATGGCAATCTTTGCCTTCTGCCTATAAGTTTTTACCTCACGAAAAGAAAAATCAGTTTGGTTTCTTCTCTAAAGTAATTTAATGGTGTTTGCCTTAATGTCATTAATTAAGAAAGTAACTCTCTTCCACATTGTACATTCAAACTTAAGTGAGAGGCAGTTTGGTGTAATAAAAGAGTAATCAATGAGAAGTCAGGATTCCTACTTCCCAATTTTACCACTCTGTGACACTAGGTAACCATTGTGAAAGAGTGGATAGAGCTCAAGATTTAAAGTCAGGAAGACCCGGGTTCTAACCCCACCTAGGACACTTAACAGGTATATGTCCTTGGCAAACTACTTAACTTCTTTGAGCTTCAGTTTCTCCATCCCAAAAAGAAATGTAAAATAGTAGCCCCTGTCTCATAGGATTGCTGTGGGAATCAAATGAAGAGCTTTATAACCATTAAAGCCCAATGTAAATGCATCATTATTTAACTTCTCCCGGTCTGTGTATGTTGCCCATAACTTTCCACACAGTCACAGTTCCCATCTCTTTGCCACTCCTGTATCCTGATATTTCCATATCTCATAGTTTGCACTCAAGGTCTTTATGAAGTTATAATATCTTCCCCTCTTTCTCTTCTCTTCCTTTGTGCCGACCACATCGGCTGTCCTAGGAAAGCTCCTATGTCTCAATAGTTTCCAAAAACGAAAATTCATGAAGCATTTCTATTCAGACTTCATGCGCTACAAAGCCTACACATAACCTTCTGTAGATCAGAACTTTCTCAGATAGCTAATTTAGAGATCCTTTCTCAATGATCAAGACTGCCCACAAAGCATCATGAGAAAATGGAGGGAGTTCTCTTAAAAAATTCCATACACAGGAATTTCTCATTTCCCCCCATCTCCCTTAAGTCACAAAGGCAACACATACATACACACACACATACATACATACATACATACATACATACAAACAAACAAATACATATATAGTTGGCATATATGCATATATATGTATATGCATATATGTGTGTGTAACATGTATTGTGTGTATGTGGATATTACATAGGTAGATCTAATATATATACATATATACATATATATATATATATATATATGATGTTATTGGTCTGCGGAGAATGGAATTTGCACTTTGAATTGTAGTCATAGGTTTCACCGAACTGTCTGTACTTTCTCACCAGGGCCTCCATTTGATCAAGTACACGCATTTTGGAGATTGCTGGTTGGGGTTAGAAGTTACAATGTATGGCCTTGAAATAGAACAAAGTTAACTCATCTACTACCCTGTGGACCCACAGCCTCCAGCTCTAACTTACTGTTAGTTACTTAGGCAAGAACAAGCTTTCCCAATAGCCTATCACCTCCTTCTGCTGATCTTTCACTCCTCTCTCCCCATGTGAGAACTTTGGTCCCAGACAAACTGCTTCTTTTGACAATTTGTCTCTGATTCACAGCCATTAGGGAATTAAATCTTGTTGTTCTACCAAATTGGCTTGATAAGGGTCTACAACAATGTTTCCTTGACTTTATCTTGAAGTCTGTCCTTGGCTTTAATCTGGTTTGATTTATCAGTAACCTTTGACACTATTGATCCGAAAATCATTTCTCCTCAGGATCTTTCAGAGTCTGGTCCTACACAGGAGGGCAAGTCTATCTGATCCTTCTTCTTGAGTTGGTTGAAACCTGCCATTAGCAAGTTCAAAGCCAATTCTGTCTCTCAATTTCTTTCTTCATCCTCCCCCATTCCACACAGCCTTCTGACCTTTTACTATGACTAAACTTCTTTGTGATTTAAACTATTTGAGGCCTTGCACTTTCCAGACAGTGAGGACAAAGCCAGAGTACCCAAACTCAGTTACTGTTTCTGAGAAGCATCTCTTTCCTATTTCCCCTTGCCAATCCATTTCCATTGCTTCCTTTAAGACCCATAGGCCTTTAGTTCTGTTCCTTCCAAATAATGAAAATATATTTGAGAACAGGATAAAGAATTTCCAGTTGCCTCTGTAATGCCTAAGGTGTGGGGAGGGAACAGCATTCATCTCCTGTTTGCTAGAGCATTGGCCTGGGGAGGGGAAAGGGAGGTGGGACACTTATGCTACAGCAGCAACTACAACATGCAACTAGGAAACCATCACTGGGAAACACTGAGGGCCTCCTCATTCTCCTCCAGAACAGTTTGAGCAGTAGTTGAGCTACACTGACTGTTCATTTTCATTTCATAAAATATCCTTTAATCTCTATGGGGGCTAATGCCATGTCTCACCAACCGAACTTAGTGAACTCACAAATATTCACGACTTACTATGTATAAAACCCTATTCTAGGAGTTATGGGAGATACAAAGAAAACTAAGTTAGTTCCTACCCTCTGGGACTTTACAGTTGAGTAGAGGGCTAAGAAATGTATGCAAAGAGCTATAATGCAAAACACAATAGGATAAATTCCAGGAGATATCCAAACAATGTGCCCTGAGTGTTCAAATAACGTTTGTCCCATGGGGATGCCATGATAGGATCTCAGCTCCAGAGCTGGAAAGGATCTCAGAAACCATCCAGGTGAACCACCTAATTTTATACCTGAAGAAATGGAAAACTAAAGTGGTTGAGTGACTTATGAGAGGTCACACGGGTAAGTAACCCCACAGACTTCCTACACCCTTTGATTACAGAGCCAGTATTTGATTACAGAGCCAGTATTCTTCCCGTGAAACTACGTTGCCTATTCTTCTTAGGAATAGAAACCAGGATGAGCTAACTACTGCTCAGTAATTTCTGTCTCCCACATAGAAAGAAGCAGATTCACGGAACTTGGAAAGTCCTGCATTCCTGAGGGCATCCTGATAAACTTGTGCTGAGTATTCTTTAATCCTGAAGCTTCTATTGAAGGCAAAAAGTGTACTCCACACATAGTACAGAGAGCACAAACATTTTTATGTCCCTTAATACCTAACATTACATTTGTGAAGGGAATTATGATTTTCATATTAATAGACGTGATATGTGTAATGAATATACTAATAATTTAGATTTCTCAGAGCTGCCTTTTCAGGCTTGGGAGCCAGAAACTCACAATGCAACTTGAAATTATCAATCAAACTTTTGATAACACTCTCACAATCACTACATTCCAGTGCCTTTGTACCTTAAATGAAGCCAACCAAAGATATAGAAACTGTTCTCATCATAGAACTCTGGTCTTGTGCCTCACGAAGTAATCACAATCCCCAAGACTTGAAACAATCAACCTGAGAACTGTTTCCACAGGACTCAGAACACCTGTGTTGTCCTGCACTCATGGGCTTGTCATAGGAATCCACTCAGGCCCTGGAATTTTGTAATCCATCCTCCTCCTCTTTCCCACTTGTGATTTTTATATATAACATGTGCCTTTACTCCATCATGAGGAGCTCTCCTTATGAGAACTTCAAAAGGTCTGCAGACTCTGAAAGTAATTAATTAAACCTCTGCTTGTTTCCTGGCACTCCTGTCTCTGGCCTGCTTTGTGCAGCTCCTGCTATTCACAGGTTAGAGACCAGTCCTGTCCCAATCATATTCAAAATTCTGTTAACATATTTTATGCAGAAAAAGGGCTTATTATTTCTATTATTATTGCAGGGAAATAGAAAGATTTTTTTTTTCACTATTCGAAATACGATACTAAAGTCAAGGGGTTTTGCTCTTTACAGATATATACCATAAAGGCCTGAGTGCAGCCCAAATGGATACAGAAAGATGACCTTGCTTCCTTTGCTCACCTTTTACTTCTGACTCAAATCTATTTGAAATGCAAACCAGAGAGGATCGTGGGGATTTCTGACCATCAGTCAGACAGTTAACTGGGATAAAGAACACAATTTCAGATGCACCATTTAGAATAAAAGACTTAATTTTCTCCTAAAGCACTCTATGGATTTTCAACTGGCTAAGAACAAAAAAGGACCATCTTGCTTTTATCAGAGAGAGACTTCTGAAAGTCACAAAACCCTCCCTAGAAGATCAGAGCTAAGATACTGGGTATGTGGCCCTGAACAAATGAAACGTGGAGGCTGGCATCAGGGAGAAATGCCCAGAAGAGACCACAAAACCAAGTGATAACATAGCCAGCAGAGAGCCAAGAAGCCCAGGAGAGATCAAGACTTGGAGACCTGTAGAGACACATGCTCGGTGAAGAAGACACAAAAAAGTGATACCAGATGGAGAATAAAAGATCTTCAATCTGACACATAGGGGCAGACTCGGTAAAGAGCAGGCTTAGAGATATCACAGCAAGGACATCACCAGAAGATCTCAGCAGTCCTACAGCATCACTGTCCCTACACACATGCTTCCTCTATGCATGCATCTAATGCTTGTTCCTTATGCAGGCCCCCTCTTCCCACTGACAGTGTATTTGTGTAAGCATGTTTATGTGAGGGAATACTTATTATCTTTATTACTATTTACTTTTCTTACTATATAATTGTTCCATTAAATGCCTTTGCTTTGAATAATGACCACTAGCTGACTAAAAAAAAAAAGTAAACACACCCATGGAGATTTGTAAGCTATGATATTAAGCTATGTGGACCCATGGAGTTTCTTGAAACTAGAGTGGCCATTGTGGGGGTCGCATAGGTGAGAAGGGGTATGCCCTGGTTCATCATCATTATTATTAATAATAGTAATAATAGTAGTGACTTTTTATACGGCTTTGTGTTTGCTTTACTTCATACTAAAAGAGTGCTGAATTGAAGTGAAAAACGGAAAATGGAATAGAAGTTCTTTCCCCCTGGAGAAGGGGGAGAGCCATACACAGAGGCAGCTGCATGTAAACACACAGTTCTCCCTGGTTCATTTCCAGTAGAGCAGTCTTATCTACCGGTCCGACAGAGAAGAATGAAATGAGAGGCCTGGGGAGAAGAAATTCATACCCAGCTCTTCCTGGGAAAAAAAGTGACAGGTCTCTTCTTCATTAGCTGTGGCCATCTATCTCTCCCCAGACCCAGGCAGGAAAGGTTGATGGCCACCAGAATAGACTAAGAAAAGAGAAAGGATTGCCCAGATCCAAGGAACTGGATCTGTATCATCCAAGCAGCTTTTCTCCTGAGCAGGCAGTAGCAATAACCTCTGGACTCTGTGCTGTTAACTGTTAGGAAACGCCTTAGCTGGTATTCACGGACTTTCACAATCTACCCTCACTGTGCCACCTAGCTGCCCCCGGCAGCTCTTCTTCTGAGTATCTTCTGATACTTAGCAGCTGTGTGACCCTGGGCAAATCTGATTGCCTCACCAAAAAAGCAAAAAGAAAGAAAGAAAGAAAGAAAGAAAGAAAGAAAGAAAGAAAGAAAGAAAGAAGAAAGAAAGAAAGAAAGAAGAAAGAAAGAAAGAAAGAAAGAAAGAAAGAAAGAAAGAAAGAAAGAAAGAAAGAAAGAAAGAAAGAAAGAAAGGGGAAAAAAAGAATCAATGATTATGTGATTTTCTATAGACGTCTGAAATTAAAAAAAAAAAGGAATATTGCAGACTTTTGGGGCAGCTAGGTGGCATAGTGGATAGAGCACCAGCCCTGGAGTCAGGAGGACTGAAGTTCAAATCCGGACACTTGACACTTACTAGCTGTGTGACCCTGGACAAGTCACTTAACCCCAGTTGCCTCTTCCCTCCCAAAAAAGAGCTATCTTGGTGTGTCTAAGCCTGTCACCCTATCTTTCCAGTCTTCTCTCACATTATTTCCCTCTTCACCCTCTATGTTCTAATCAAATTGATCTATTCTCAGTTTCTGGAACTCATCCTGGGCTTTTCTAAAACTGTCTTTGCTGCACGGAATCTCCTCCCTCCCTTTTTTTACCTGTTGAATTTCTAACCTAGTCCAAATCCTTTTCCATGAATCATCCCTTGGTCAGGTGGGGTTTGGGGGTGACAGAGAGGAAATTGAGATCCTGTGAATCTGGAAACAGAATTTTTTCTACTGTTTTCCTGTTTATAATAAAATAATTCACACAGTGCTTTACAGTGTTTGTGCAAGAAAGAATACCATATGCTTAGAATCAGAAGACCTGGCTCCAGACTTGGACTCAATCAATCAAAAAACATCTATCAAGCACATCCTTCACTTTTGAAGGGACCAAGGATATCATTGTCTTGATGTCTTGCCTTGTGCCTGAATTGTATTTAAGTGACGCAGAGCTAGCTGCACAAAGTTGTCAGTCTCACTCTCTCTCCCAGAGTCATCAAAGTCCAGTGGCCAGACAAAAAATCAAGAAGACTGGGGATGGCTCAGAATGAAGTGGATGACCTTGGCATCTTTGATGTCGGACCAAGCTCTAAGTGCTCCACAAGTCCTGCTTTCAGCTGCCTTCATGGCCTTTGGGACAAATTGTTCTCATTCACCAATTCTGCAGGGGGAACTCTTCACATGCTGAGGGCAGACATCCCCCTAATTCACCAATGGGTTTGAGGCCTGTCAGTTACCCTCAACCTGGTTTAGCCTGTCTGCTGAGATGCTTGGTACAGCTTCCTGAAGCTACAGGGAGAGTTGAATGCCCGACAGACACCAAAAGTGGATGAGCAATCCTGAAAAGGGCTCAGCAAGCCCTTATACCAGACATGCTAGTCTTCCCTGAATGCACCATACACTCCTACAGATGAGGTAACTGAGTCTCGGAGAAGGGAAATGACTTGCCTGAGATCTCACAGGCAACAATAAGTCCCAGAGGAAAAATTTCACCTCAGGTTTTCTGCCTCTAGACCCAGCACTCTTCCTACTGTTCTATACTTTCCTTTACTGTAAGGGAATAACTCATGCTATTGTAGCACTTTCCCTGCAATAACAGTGAACCAGAGTAGAAATATCATCCCCATTTCACAGATGAGGAAATCACTGAAAAACCCCAATCTCTTTCGGACAAACAGCTCTCTAGCTATGCTTCCCCTATCTTGTATTTGTAAAGGTGATTACAGAACTGTGCCACATTCTTCTATTTATCTCCTGTTACCAGCCTTTGTTTCCATTTTCTGTACGTTATTTAAAAAAAAAAAGCTGGTGGCTGAGCCCTTCATGTACCCCTATCAGTCTCTTCTGAGCACTTCTTTTTTTTTAACCTCCTTGTCAGAATTATTTGCCTTTCTGCCTCCTGAATGTATTTCTTCAGTTTCCTATCATCCCTCCTAGTATAATTTCTCCAATAGAATTTTAGTCCATGGACCTACCTGTCCTTCCTCTGAAACCTTTGAAACCTGCTCTCCTAAAATCTAAAGTATCCGTTAGATGATACTCAGTTTTCCTCTCCTCTATCACAAACTCTTAAGATAGAACGGTCACTACTTTCCAAGATTCCCATCATGACCAGCCCAAAAAATAGCTCTTCCCCAATGGTAAGAGTGGGATCCAGAATAGAATTTCCCTTCAGTAGTTCCTCCATCTTTTCAAGGATAAAATCATCATTAAGACAAATCAAAGAATTATAGGTCGCTTTACTTTTGGCTCCATAGGACACAGAGCACTCCAGCAGATGTTCAGACAACTGAAGTTCCCTATTACTAATATATCATACCTCTGCTCCTAATTTGTGATCTGTTTCCAGAACGTTTCTTCTCCTTTTTTTCTATCCATTTTGTCCGTAATATATTCTGATGATGAAATCACTTCTGTTTCTGTCTCCATTTATCTTTATCCAAATATTGTCTACCAAGTTTCCCTGCTTTGCTTCTTAGATCTTTTTTCCATGAGTACAGGCATAATCTATACCCCCATGCCTTTCTCCCATCTTTTATGTACCTTGATTGTTTTAAATAGAGTAAACCTTTCCAGAGCCCTTTTCTAATTATGGGTCTCATTCCACAAGTCCCAATGATACCTATAGGGTCAAAATCATCTCCTTATATTAGGATCTGTAGTTCATTTTACTTGTTAGTTCATTTCCCTCCTGAGTTCCAGTCTTGAATCTTCAGCTATCTGCCAGACATCTCCACCTAAGTATCCCATGGTCATCTTAAACTCAACACATACAAATTTGCTCTTGCTCTTTCCCCCTAAAACCATCTCTCCTCCCAATTTTCTTATTCCTGTTGAGGACACCACAATTCTTCCAGTCCCCCAGGTTCACAACCTAGGAGCTGTCTTTAGGTTTTCCCTCCCTTATCTTATCTATTCAATTAATTGTTAAGTCTTGTTGATTCTGTCTCCTTAACATTTCTCCCAATCATCCCCTTCTCTCTACTCATACCAGAACCACCCTAATTCAGTAGCCATCACCTCCTGCATGGACTATTGCAATAGAATCCAGTTGGTCTTCCTGCATGTAGCATCTCTTCTGAAAAAGCCATCCTCCACATAGCTGCCCAGCTGATATTCCTAAAGCCTACTTCTGACATCTGATCATACCCTTCCCGTTCTCAGAACATTTCAGTAGCTCTCTGTTTCCTCTAATACATATTATAAACCCTGCTGTTTGTAATTCAAAACCCTTCATAATTTAGTTCCAGTCTCCAGATACAATAAACATTATTCCCCTTCACACACTCCATTCTCCAGCCAAACTTGTCTACTTGCCTTCCTCCATACATCAGCTCTGGTCCTTTGCACAGGTTGACCCCATACCTGGAATTCTCTCTCTGTCCTTAACTCTACCTCCTGAAGCTCCTAGCTTTCTCCTATGAAATTCTGGGTGCTCACCTATTCTCTTTTCTTACATTTTAGTATTTTATCTATGGTCTCTAGTTTGGTGGATACACATGGATTTTTCTCTCTCCTTGCTCTCATCTTCAAGCCTTTTTGTTTAAATTTATAAGACACCAGGCTTCCTAGGTTCTATCCATCAAGTATTTGTACCTGTATGAATCACTGGAAATAGGGAGAAGTCTTCAATTTTGGCAAGCCTTGGGAGTTTCTCTGTCACTTCCTGAGTACACTTCCTCTCAATTACCAACATCATAAATAGCTTCCTCAGAAATCTTTAGCAAGAAGTCACCTATCAGCACTACACTTCTCTCCTTCCTCTGACCCTTAGTGGATGATCTCTTGCTTTACAGAATGGATTGATTTACTGTGTCAGTCTTCTGAGAATAAGCAGTGGCTTCCTCTTCATGTGAGGTGCAACAAGGTATAGTAGATAGAGAGCTGGCCTCCAAGCTAAGAAGACCTAAGTTCAAATCACACCTTTGACAGATAGTGGCTTTGTCACCTTGGGCAAGTCATTTAAACACTTAGTGCTCTAAGCAACTCTTTATGACAATAAGTTCTTCTCTTCTGTCTCTACTCACAACTCTCTGGATTTTTCCACCTTTTCCTCAGTAGCCTTCTCACCCTAGAGATGCTTCTGCCCCATCAGCTCCCTCCACTGTGAGTTCCTGCCTGAGACAACCATTGAAAGAAGTGCTCAGGCTATGTACTCACTTCTCTCCTGGCTCTTTTCTAGACTTTCCAGTTTTCCAG